CTGCAAAAGTCAGCTGCTCTTTCGTCTCGTAGATCTACACAGACAGAGGAAGAAGCTCGAAGCTCTTATAAGAACGTGCGCACCTTGGCAGCCTTTAAGCTGCATGAAACGAAGAAGTCCAGATTCTCACGAACAGAAAAGCCTCCGGTTAAAACTAGATTCTCCTCTGCACGTAGAAACCATGCTGCAGCCTCCAACAGGGCAGCCGCCTCTCCGATAGCATTATTCAGTTGGGCTTCACATCTAAAGATGTGAGACTGCCTGTTAAGTTACGCGAAACCTACTTTGCCTTACCCAGTGCAAATACGCCAGCATATTCGGGCGTATCCTCAGTGGCAAGAGATTTGGCTAAGAAGGCTTCGGGGATTTGCGAATTTGTTCATTGAAGCCTGAGTAACTTACCAAAATCATCTTTAGCCTCGGTAAGGTTGGTTTTACGAAATAATTTCCTAAAAAAGTATAGTCGATGTAAAGGAGTACTTTTTGAACTTTGAGGAAAGGTCGCGGTATAAATTGGCGTAGTCAACATCGGGGTTCATGTTTACAATGGACCTTGAGAAAACAGAGGTACAACAGTAGGTAAGTTGACAATCCTAATAAAAAACACGCAATTTCACATTTCCTTTATATAACTAATAAAAGATGTGTTTTCGTGTTTTTAACCACATTGATTGCGTTGTTTCGCTTGCAAGCAGTTGTGCTTTATTCATCCTGACACCACAAAAAGGAAGAAGAACCTTACAGGATGAATGCAAAGCTTGGCGATGGTGTGGACTAAATAAATATGCGGGTAATTTCAGTAGGCCAACATGATTCCTCTTTAAAGCTGGGGACTAAACAACAATTTCGGTTTACCGTAGCAAAACGGTACTCGGGACGTTAAAAGGGGGCCAGAGAACAGCCTTGGGAGCGTTAATTTATATTAAGTTAAAGTAGCCTTTGATGTTAATAACCACTGCAAGCAATGAATTCGTAAGAGAAACCGCCCTTGTAAGGGGTGTGTAACCGACCCGTTAAGTTTCGGTGGCGCGTTCTGTCACCCGAGTTACCAGCGGGCCGCAATTTACTCTGCTAAATTTTCAGCTGCTTCATTGTTAACTATTACGGTGAGCTGCACTTATCCCGTGTCGTGTTTTGTCATAATGCGAATCAATCTTCGCACATGATATAAATAATTACCTAAATTAAATTTGTTAAGTTAGTGGTCAAAGTAAGTGAGAGTTATTCGGATGCCATGTATCGCGGGAATTAGGGAATTCAATAAACGGATGTTCGCAGATTTTTAGACGTTTTGCCGCGAAGACTAAGTGGTTGTTTCTGTGGCAGACGACGATTTGGACTTGCAATCATGCATAACTTTGAAAGTGCCGTAGGGCACCCGGTGCCAAATGAAGGTTGAATCATGACCTACCAGGCGTGGCTGCCAAGGTAGCTAAACCAAAATCCGTTATATGCACCCCTGTTTTTACCGCTGCAATTTTCAGGCGCCTACGATTTTTCTATCAAAAGTATCTGTACATTTGCTGGATTAATATGTACACATGCGCGTTGGCCAGCAGCGGGTAGGTACCTACCCGTTTCAAGAAGTAAATACGAGATTGCATTGATTCCACGAAAATTCTGCTTATTAAAAGTAAGGAAAGTCACTAAATTAAAAAAGGTTGAAAAACGAACTTAGAATGAACGGTGCAAATGAAAGACGCGCGACAATTACAGCATAGAAAATTAAAATACTTATTGTTAGCTTATTTATTATGTGGGCTCTTGGCCCTACTTATGTGTTGTTTAAATTTATCAATAACC